GAGAGAGAGAGAGAGAGAGAGGAGAAAGAGAGGAAAAAGAGAGAATGAGAAAGAGTGAATGGGAAATAATTCGCTAGAGGAGAGAACTGTGTTCCATTCTAGATTTCCGGTGTTGTCTCCATTGTTAGCATTATGCTGGAATGCGGAGCAGATCGCCCTGGTTCGAATCCCAGTCTGGGCGTTCTTGAACCAAAGTCGTTTTGTGGAGTTTTCAAGGCTTTTAACCCATTTGACGCGGTCCTTTCGGAAACGGGCGTTAAATTCTTAAATAACTAAAAGTGTTGATAGAGGGCGTTAGACCCTAACACTTACCCCAAATAATATATTACAATTCCATGTATAAGCCAATTGCAGACGACAACTTATAACGAATATGCGAAAGCGACAGGCAAATTTCTTTGGACACACAATGCGGGAAGAAGCATTGGAGAATTGTTATTGTAACAACAGGCAAGTTTGATGGAAAGAGAGGCAGACAGAGGGAAAAGATACTGGACAAGTTGACAACATGGCTGGGAACAGCAAGAACAACTGACACCGTCGCTGCAACGCAAGACAGAGTGAGGTGGAGGTCCATATAAAGTCTGAATCCCAATTCCCTAGTTTTTGACTGGTTACTTTGCGCTGAATTTGGCGCAGAGATGAAGATTTTAGAAAGTTGAACAATAACAGGTGAAGGTTGATTTAAAAAAAAGAATCTACGGATGGTTTTAAGCGGTTTGAAGCGTCTTCTTTGGTGGTCCGTGTTTTCTTGTGTCTTTTGTTTAGATTGGAGTGGCGAATGACGCAAAAACTGGCGTGCCCACAAATTGGTTTCTGCTCTTTTTGGAAGAGAGGGAGGAGTGATGGCTTTTGTAACGTTGTGTGGTGTGTGTGTGTGTGTGTGTGTGTGTGTGTGAGAGAGAGAGAGAGAGAGAGAGAGTGTGTGTGTGTGTGATGTTGTGTTTCTCTAAAAGGATGAATGGGTCTAGTACACCATATTGTGTTGTTTTTCCTTCTGTAGACCAATATTAACGTTTAACGTTACCATGCCAACGCCTATTAATGCATTATGTGTGCCCCTTGTCTTTAGAAAATAATGACGCCTTCCCCCCATCTCCATGCATGCGTTTTGCCAGTAAAGCCTGGAATTGCTTCTGCTAAACAGTTTAGTTCGCGGGGGTGGTTGGAGGGTGCCACTTGTAGGTTCTCTGCATCCTCTGTCTCATCTCTCTCTCTCTCTCTCTCTCTCTCTCTCTCTCTCTCTCTCTCTTTCTTTCTCTCTCTCCCTCTCTCTCTGTCTCTATCTTTCTCTCTCT